TGTAACGGCACCTTGCGTTTGATGACGATACGGCGCACCGGAGGGCAGTTCACTTACACTCTGATTGAGCAATGACGCCTTAAGAAACTTTAAATGTTAACAGAGTAAAACAAAATATAAAAATTTCACTAGTACATAAGAATGCAAGTGGAATGGGCATTCTTTTTAAACGGGAGCTTTCTGATTGAGTCCCCCTGTACATCAAAACATACAAATATTGGCAATGGGGAGAGACGCTATCATTGCAGACCGTCGAAATAAAAACGGCCTATTCAGCGAAAGTGAAAGTAGCTTCCATAACTTACTAATGCAAGTTTTCATAAGGTCCCATGTGTGTGCAAGACTGGTCCCTTGACTATTTATGGAGGAATTAAGGGAAACTCGAGTGTGTGCGTCACTAAAAATTCCCCGGAATTGAAGTGGGACTTTAAGCAAAAGAATAAACGTGACGTTGCTTCAGATATTTTGACGTTATCATCCGTTCGCTGTACGCATATACCACACATAATTTCCCATATTTGTTTTTCTGAGCACATACCTCTTTGAAATTTGCTATGTATATTGATGAAAAATGTATGCAAAGAAAGCAGTGTTTATCATTTTTCACTCTAGACTACTTGTTCACGACTTTACCAGAAAACCTTCGTATACATGTATTTTGTTTCAATTTAGCTGTTTAGTCACAGACAATTGATTGCTGTAAATCATTGTGACCGAGTTAAAACAGAGAAATTTATTCTGTAAAATAGATATAATTATTCTTATTTGGTCTATAAAATGAATACAAATGTTGAAGTTTTTATATTATAAGGGGAGATGACCAATTTATGAAATGAATTACAAACATACACGTTTTTCCGTACTAAGGCGATTTTGTGGAAAAATATTTTTAAAAAATATAACAATTAGAAATATATAAAATTACAGGTGTAAAAATGTACATGAATTCTGATATTTTCATGAAATAATGATTATATACATGTATATTTATGTGACATTTCTATTTTTTCGATGATTTATTAATCAAAATACTATCTTTGGACACCCCCTCCTCTCCGTGATAACATTCGGACAAAACTGTACAAAAAGACATTCATATTATTTATATGATATTTTAGTAATATTTTGTCATAGTATTGTATGAATAGACAAATCCCCCCCCCCCCCCCCCCCACACACACACAGTTCCTTAGTTCCCCTCCCGAAATGCATGTATCTGAATCAAACAAATCTTCTTAAGTTTTATTTTTTTAAATATATCAGAATGTGAAAGTAACCTTATTTTTTTTAAATTAAGAAATCCCTTTGTTTGGCAGTCATAATAATTTTTCCCTGCTTCAAGTTCACATGAAATCCACGTGCTTGTCCTGTCAATCAAAATCATTTGACACTGTGCTGTCGTGAAAGTCGGAAGCTTAAGTACTAGTACTAGTATTTCTAAGAAGTTTGATATATTTTATTGATCAATTTTTGATCTGTGTCCTACATTTCTCAAAATTGAAATACACAAATTTGACAGCCACTTTGTACGACCAAATGTATTTGCAAACAAGGTCATTATAACAATCATAGAATTTGAGAAATACTGACTTTAAACAAAATAGTTGAAAACACCGAACATGAACTTTTTTGTCATTAGCCTGTCTTAGTTTTAAAATTAATTCCTCATCTGAAAGAGAGAGGTACCGTATAAAGGTAGCAGTAGTAAAATATTACACTGTCAGTTAACTTTATATAACTAGGGAAAGTTGACGATGGAAAAGCTGAGTCATCACTTTTGTCCGTTAGTTTAGTTTGTTAGTTTGCCATTAACGTGTTTAGTCAGTGAAAATTCTAGAATTGAAACAGACGTGTAAAATTCAGTGATGTCTTTTTTTTTTTAGGTCACCGGGATAAATCAAATTGCCGTGTGAATGAATATAACCTAGTTAATTGATAAAACATCGTCGATATATCTAACTTTTGATTTGAAAATCACAGAAGAGTTTTCTTCTCCTCTTGTAGTCTTAGGTTTTTTAATAATTCTGCTTCATAGGGCACCTCCTAAGGAAGCATGATAAGTGTTTATCAGAATTCAGAACCCCTACATCCCCAACAGGGCTTCGCCCTGTACCCACTTGTCGGTGGAGGGCTACACATTTTTACCCGTACTCAGCACTCAGGGCCATTAGGAAGCGAGGGATCTTTTACGCACCTACTGCGACATGTGACATCTGTTTATACGGTCTTATCCAAAGGACCGGTCTCCACGTCCCGCTGTGGGATTCGAACCCTCCTTATCAACTCCTTATACCGCGACTCTAGAGTTTAACACTCTATCCACTGCGCAACGCGGGCGACAATAGAAATATGAGTGTCCTATGTAATCCGTGGGTGTTGTTGGAAGAAGAAATTTATGTTCTATAAAAACTTCGGGAAAAAAGACATGATATAGAAAGGCAGTTATAAAAATGTATGTACTTATGTCGTCGCCAAGTTTGTTAAAAAGAGCAGGCAGGGAAGGTTTTTGGAGACCAAGTGGAATCTCCTTCTAAGAGTCCACAAAAAAGGCACCATTTCCCTGGGATCTGCTTCAATTTTGAAGTTATTTTTTCAAGTATCAAACCAACAAAGTAAAGCAGCATTTCTCTAAACAGATAATTGATGAATTTGTTTCAAACTAATTTTCGCTTTTTTAAGGGGGGGGGGGTGTGTTCACAGCCAACGCATCCCCCCCCTTTCTCCAACGCGGCTTTGACTCGATTCCCGTTTCTCGTAAAATTTTTAATATATCGGTAAATCAAAGACATTTCTGTGATTATAGTATCGTCAAGTATGCACAAAAAAGTAAAATCGCTCGAAACAATAGTGGCATATTTCTGCCACCTGTTAGATAATTATGTCGACTTGTCTGATAATTATCCTCATGACTAGGAACTCCGTACCTTGGAATAAAAGCTTATTAATGCCCTTACTGACATCCACTTGTCATCATTATGTTGACAGTTTACATAATTTTCTAAGAAGTCATCGTAATTTTATGACAAATCGACATAATTTTCTGACAAGTCGATTTATCAGATGATTTAGGGACTTGTCAGTTAATGATGTCGACTTGTAAGATGTTATGACAACTTGTCAGATGGTAAGTGCACTTTTCAGAAAATAATGTCAACTTTCGGATGTTCTGTCTACTTGCCAGATAAATATGTTGATATGTCGTTTATTTATATTGACTCGTCAGATAATTATGACGACTTGTAAGATCTTATTGACCGTCACGGTAGCTCAGTCGGTAGAGCGCTCGCTCTGTGATCAGAAGGTAGTGAGTTCGAATCTCGGCCTCAAAAGACCAAGGTCGATAAAAACAAAATTGGTAGCACAAGTTTTCGCCATGCGCTCAGCACTTAGAAGTGAAAGTTGCGGATCCTTCGGATGAGACCTTAAAATCCGAGGCCCCGTGTCATGGCAGGCGTAGCCACGATAAAGATCTCTCACTGCCTCTTGGCCCTAAGTGTCGAGTAATGTCTGAATTTGAAGCCCTTAACCGGTATATTGTGACATCTCTAAATGAGTGAAAAATTCTCGAATGGGACGTTAAACAACATAAAATTAATCAGTCAGATCCATTGTCCATTTGTAAAAACTAATTTGTCATCTAAATGGCACAAAAAGGGCATTGACACGTTTTCACGTCGAGTTTTTAAACACTTTAACAAACGACGTCAACAAAAATATCTGACAAGTCAACATAATGATCTGAGAAGTCGACATAGTTATGTGACAAGCAGTGGCAGAACTATGACACCATACGAAAAGAAGTACAAACATAAATAATCTTGAACTAATACCTATAGTCACTAAATGAAACTACTGTTTGCAGAATGTATTTTTGATCAATTGACACTTGCAAGATTCAGAATATTGCTCAGGTGTAAATGTAGGTTTCCGAATGGTGTATAGCTTTCAGTGCATTTTACAGTGTACCATATTATGTTGTTATCGTCAACACATCCAAAAGACATATTGCATTACCATTGTAAGACCAAACAAAACCATTGAAACAATCTCCTTTTTTACCCGAGATCCTAGTAGTTATGAGCATTTTAATTCTTGTTATATACTATATTATTACATATTAAGCATTTGTTATCTTACCTGAGCCAAAGGCTCAAGTGAGCTTTTCTAACGGAAGGATGTCTGGCGTCCGTCTGTCGTATGTCGTGTAACTTTACACATTTTCGACTTCTTCGCAAGAACCACTGGGCAAATATGAACCAAATTTGCCACAAAGCATCCTTTAAAGGATGTTTAAATTTGTTCACAGGAAGTGCTACGACTTTTTTTCAAGGGTAATAATGAAGAATCCCTGAAAATTTGTCTTAAAGTTCTTCTTCTACTGGACTAGAAAAAGATGAAACGTGAAAGCTTCATTATATACTGTTTATTCAAATGTGTTCATATTATGACCACTGGAGGTAGGGCGAGGTCACCACAGTGGGTTTTACATAGAAATATAGAGGAAATATCTTTAAAAATCTTTTTCTCAAGAACAGAATGAGGAAGATTTCTGTTTTTGATAAAAATTGTACAACCGGTTTCTGCGTTAACCATTTTTTATGTCAGCAAATCTTGACCACGCTAACTTATGTATAATCCAAGCACTAACTTTATCATCTCCTTTGAAACAGATGTCCAAATTAAGTAGAAAAAATTATTGATGGAATCGTCATCTTTAATATGTACAGCTATTTAAAGCAAGACAAACAATGAAATTACCAGGGGGGATGCAGTCAATTAGATAAAGTGACACTATGCTTTATGTTCATGGCCGATAATAATTAGTTATATAAAAAAGAAAAGCAGCATTATGGTATTCAATGAAGAGGCGATTGAGGTATAACTTGTAAATGAGATATTTAAAAAAAAATAATACTAATTCCTTTTTAAAACATTCTCCAGTGGAACGACAAAGAGGAAGATTTGCAGGATTTTCCATTTATATTTCAAACTCCACCGATATGGACGATTGGTTTCTTTGTTACAAGGACAAATCTGAGTTACCTCCCTTGGATTTTAATGCCACATGTATGAAACATGGTCGCTACGTCATTTATTATAATGAAAGATTGAAGGAGGTTACCTATCCAGATAGTTACCAAATTCCGACCACAACAGAGTTATGTGAAGTTATAGTGCATGGTAAGCATATACATATACAAGGTTACTCTTTTAAAATGCATGCTCATCCTTTTTTCTATATTTCGATAATAAAAAAAATCATGTAAATGTGGATATCGATACACCAAAAAGGAAGTTTAAGTAGGCATAATCTCTTTAATCAAAGCAAAGTTGATTTTCAATAAAAAAAAGCCTCATTGTTGTCCGCATCACATTCACTCTATACATTGCTCGATAAGTTAGTTAAAATGATGAATTAAACCAGTAAGAATACTGCCAGAAATCCGAAATACATATAGTTCACATTCTGTTGTACAGGTTGCGCTAAAAAGGGAGTTTATGGCGTTAACTGTGATCTACCCTGCCCCGTCAACTGTCAGGAACAAAGATGTCACATAGTTAACGGAAGTTGTCTGGGATGTAAGCCAGGATGGACGGGAGACACGTGTGATAAACGTATGGATTGATAAAATGAGTATTTGTACATTAATCAACATTCTGTAGAACGCAAACTAATTTGAAAACTTTTAGATTTTAATTAAGTCTTTGTCAATTACGGACACCTTTTATCAACATTCAAAGACATTAAGGACTTACTACTATGGACATGTCTGCCTGTCATTCCATTTATTATCATAATCATTATCATCAAAGTTATCCGGCAGAAAGAAAACAAATAGAGAGAAAGAAAATACGTACAACAAGATCTAAGCATCTAAAGACATATACTGTTCTGATATACAGCTTATTACATAATATTTTTTTGATTGAAATTAAAACACATTTAATGAAATGGAATTAAAGCATTCCTCAAGTTTTACTCAATAATTTATTAATTCAATTGATACAGGCAAAATTCCTATGACTATTTTTTTTTATTATTTCAATATAGGACTTTTACGAGATTAATTTCGAAATATAAATAAAATTTAATGAAATGAGAAACCCATCTTTATTTCAAAAGTAGTTGACCATATCTTCTATCCATTATAAAGGAATTTCAGGCAACTATTTATTGCATGTTTAAAGACTTTTGAACAGTGTGCCCTTCTGGATGGTATGGACTTGGTTGTCAACAGGGGTGTGTTGGACATTGCCAACACATCGCCTCCTGTCATCACGAGTCAGGCAGTTGTGTAGACGGTTGTACTGCAGGATGGATGGGACCCTTGTGTAATAAAGGTTAAGCAATCCTGTATTTAAAAAACAAAAAAAAATGTGTATATATATATATATATATATATATATATATATATATATATATATATATATATATATATATATATATATATATATATATATATATATATATATATAATCAATATCTCTGTTTTTTGGGGTTGGTGGGTGGGTGGGGAGTTAACTGTTGATCAATGTCTTTTGCATTAAAAATTTCTAGTCAGTGAACATTGTACATGTGATAAACGCTGCATAATTAAAAGAAAACTAATATTTCAATAAATAATATTTCAAAGTTTATATTTGATCTTCAAATTTATTTTTCACAGTGATGAAACATCTGCTTCCCACCCTTTTAAAAAGATGATTAAGTATGAAACATATAAAGACACTGTGTCTATTTTAAGGTTCAAAAATCTTACTGACTTCATATTTCTAAAATTGGAAACAATCATCTTTAAATCAATTATAGTGGTGACGTCAAAATATTCGATTTTTCATGTGTTTTTTTTTTCGTTTTTTTTTTCTATACAGATACTTGAACTCCTATTTTAATTGTGATCTCATACGTGTAAATAGTACAGTAGCGAGCAGGCACAACTTAAGAGAAAACGGACCCAAACAGAACCCGTTATACTTTTTCCGTTTGTTTTCAACTTGACCATGTGATCAAGTTTGAGCCAATCAGATAGCTGGGAACAATAGAGAAAATACACTAGTAATTCAAACAATCATGGAGAGCGGATAACATCTTAACATCTTAATATAAAGCCTTACGGAAACATGGTCCATAAATCAATCAATACATAAATAAACACATATTTTCTTGAATATATGTATATCGGTACAATAAACCTGTTTTACAGAGTGTGGGGATGGAACATACGGTCAAGATTGTATTCATAAATGTAGTGGAAATTGCTTGAATAGTTCTCACTGCAACAAAACAACGGGCAGTTGTGACCTAGGTTGTAGTCCTGGGTATATAGGAACTCTCTGTAACAAGAGTATGTACAAGTTAGCAATATTATAGATTTATCTGCAATAAATAAGGAATAACTCGATAACTCGATAAATCAAATCTTTATATTTTTCCAAGATTGATTAATATACATGTATTTTTTCCCAACAGGCTGTCCCATTAGAAAGTTTGGAATCCTTTGCAGAGAGACATGCAGTGGTCATTGTTTAAATGACACAAATTGTAATCATGTAAATGGAAGTTGCAACAAGGGTTGTAACAATGGATACACTGGTGATATGTGCAACAAATGTAAGAAATACACAGGCGTGCATAAAGGTTTTAATTCGTTGCTAAATACCTTTAAATTAAAGTGCAGACATTATTATTCTTTTTTATCTTTCAATTACATGTATCGTGAGAAATAGTAGCACTAATACTTCTTTCACAAACTGTCCAATATTCAGGGTCTCGTAGTTATAAAAAAAAAAGCAGGTCACGAGGTACTGTGACATCATAAGTATCAATTCTTAAAATAAACTGATCGTGAGGATAAAGAGATTAAATAATCTTGGAGTTTTATTAATTATCTACACTGGAACAGGAGAATTAAGTATCGACGATATAACTTAAGTTTAGTCTTAATTCTACCACAGTTATTGACGAGATCAAAGAAATGCCGCGGACATTATTCTCCAATAAATCACGAACGTCATAAAAAATTATCAGATCAGCAGGCATGCTATCAAAGCGATCTTAGGACTAAGACATATCTTAAGAGATATCTTAGTCCTAAGTGAGGCCATTGAATCTGTCCTAACTTAAGACGTATCTTAGAATTTCTCCTAAAGTTAAGGCATTGCAAGACCCGTCCTAACATGAACTTAGGAGACTCCAAACTTTGTGCAATCGTTCAATTCTTATCAGACATGTAGTATAGGGGGAGGGGGGGGGCAATGTGGGTCCTCCTATTACTCCCCCCAAAACCTTTTACAAAAAAGTTTCTTCTAACCCCCCCCCCCCCCTAAAATATCTAGTGTTTAGAAGTTTTCCTTTTTTGTGCCTCTCAGAGTTAATCAGGAACTTTTTCTTTTTTTGTTTGTTCGTTTATTATACGGTTGTACATTTTAGTTACAATCTGTTGCTCTGCCCACCCCCTTCCCTCCAACTTTGAAAAACACTGAGTGCTTCGTTCCTACCTATGTATAAATAATTGTCCAATTGTAATTTGCCGTGCTATTATGATATTTCTTCTTAGCAATTAAGAAATTAAATTGACTTGAATTAAATTGGAGTTACTTGTAGTGATCACAATTCCAAAAGTATTTAAGTTACACTTCGAAAAAGTTGGGATTGCTTTGATGGTTCTTTAAATGCGTTAAAACCTAAAGCTATACTAAAGCTGTACTAGTTATTATTCAGTCGAGGATCACGAATGAATGAGAATAGCACTAACCAGCACGGGATTTAGCGGGACACAGTAACTTGAAGAGGTCACCACCAAGGGCTATTCATGCTCGCTGTACCTTATATGAAATGGAGGAGGTTCTATACCGCGTCAAAAGCTATCTTACTATAATCGAGGCAGTATTTCCCTGTCTAGACTCTGTCCGCTAAATTGCTCGCCCAAGCTAATTTAATACCCGACGGGTTTATTTCTTAGTTTGTTAATTATATAAAATTTATTTATCTAATTTGTTTTGCAAGACTTAGTATTAATATTGAAATGAGAATTTTTACAAACTTATCTTTTAAACCCTTTCAAAATGTATGTTTTCATATTTTCTTCATTATTTATTTATTTATTTATTTATTTACTTAGAGAGAGAGAGAGAGATTTGTCCCTTTACGCGGCTATGTTAAGGCTGTCCGAAGGCTCAATATACATTAAAATATACATTTTATTTTGAGCTAGATTTTAATTTCAATTTGTAATGTACGAATGAATTTGCAGTCAACTTGTGATGAGAGTTAATCAGGTATTATAATAACGCATTTTTGTGATGTCACATGACTTTGTTGATCACGTGACGGACACTTATAAATTGCTAAATGTTACACAAAAATCGCATCGGCACAAGTGCAAAACAACATTATTGAGAAAAATTTATCACATAAGTAAATTCATCGTAATCTCTGGTACATATAAAATGCTGGGGGCAAGTCTGAATTTTAATTTTTGAGAAAATATTCCACGAGTAATTCAACTTACCCATATACAAAAGGTTATTTTCCACTCTTTATCGCACTTCATACAAAAAAGGATAAATTACATACAATCCCCCAGCAAAATTCAGTTAGAGGACGTACTTCTCTTGTAGATTCACACCGAAGACCCTCAATTTATCCTTATTAATAACTTGTGCCAGTCCAATATATACACGATTTATAAATTCTAACTCTGTCCTCGGACGTGTAAGGGGGAGCTTTTCATAGTCATTTTTAGTTATTTTTTCAATATATGTATATCGGACAATTGAAAGGAATGACGATATTAAATTGCAAATGTTCAACATCATAACAGCACACTTAAGCTTAAAGAAGAATCCAGATGCTTGAAACAAACAAAAACGCTAAAAATCTTTACATGTCATGTGAAAGGAATGTAAAAGTTACGACACTTTCCCCGTCATGTCAGCTCAAGTATGCAGTGACTTGACGTCATATGCTATTATGACGTCATATCTAGGTAGTTCAAAGAAGTTACTACAGTTGGAACAGTTTGATATTTTACGGACAGCTTTATCCTAGCCGCGTAATAAATTTATCAATTAAAATAAGAAAGCGTTTTTAGAAGTAGACAATTATTCTATGACTACTTCTATCTAATTCAATTTTTACAAGTTATTAAAAAAAATTGTAAGTCCCAATAATTATTTTTTTATTTTATTATATAACTATAATTATTATAAGCATAGTCTGTGATGTTACAATATTTAAGATTTGTCTAAAGAATCTCGTAAGTCTATCCTAGTAAGGACATTCCTAAGAGAGCTTCTATGTCGATCTTAAGAACTCTCTTAGGACCATCCTAAGTTTTGTCCTAAGATATCTCTTAAGTCATATCTTAGGACTATTCTTATGACAGTTTCGATATCATGCCCGCTGAAACACATGTCAAACCTGTACAGTTGAAATAAATATTTCAATGTAGAATCTAATACTCATTTAGACCATATCGATGTGTCGTCTTACGCAGTCTAAATAGTGTGTATTGCCTGAAACAGCTGATAAATATCCTTTTTATAGCCAAGTCGGACTGTTCCACGGACCTCCCCACAACATTTACACTCCGTGATTTTACAGATGAAGCAATGAAATAGACAACTGATTTTGTTATTTTACATTCATAAAAATTAATCAATATATGTTACAAACAAATTTATAAATAAATAAAGGATATTTTTAATCCAACGAAAGCTGAAACCGTCTGCATTTTATGCAATCGATACACAAGTAAACAAACAAATTGACTCTGGTGTTAAATGGAACAGCAAAATTTCGACATGGTGACCTAATTCGTTTCTCTATAGAGAAAACGATCAGCCGTATTTTAGAGCTGTTAGTAGAATAGAAATCAAGTCCTTGTTGTCGTGAATGATGCAGGATAACCTCCTCGGTCTCGAAATGTTGTCTGAAATATAAAAGCCTCGGCTAACGCCTCGGCTTTTATATTTCAGACAACATTTCTCGACCTCGGAGGTTATCCTGCAACATTCACGATAACGCGGACTTTATTTCTTAAATAACTGAACCCCCAGAAGTGAAAAATAACAAATATTCTCAAACAAGCATTGAGTTAATCGATTGTAAACAACCCGAGACATCGACATAAAAAATTTCTTTTTTACATTTAATCTTTGTAATTAATTTAAACGTATGTCATTAAGCACTCTTAAGGATGCGGTTACCTATAATAATCCACTGATGGAATAAAAGAAACACATACAGTGATTTCAATAAGAGCCGGCAACCGGCAAAATTAACCGCCTGTACAAAAAATTTTACCGGCTATGAAATTTCCGTCATTGGGATTTTGCCAGGGTTGGTACGCAAAATCCGCAGATTTTATCGCAGCTAGCTACATGATCAAGAGTAACTTTCCTTGAGTGCGCTCTTTTTGATGGAAGTTTGATTTGATCCAATACGTACTAAAACTACTGGTCGCCCGCGTGGCGCAATGGTTAGAGCGTCTGCTCTAAGGTCGCGGAGTAAGGCGTTGATCCTTACGTCGCGGGTTCGAATCCCACTGCGGGACGTGGAGACCGGTCCTTCGGATGAGACCGTATAAACCGGGGTCCCGTGTTGCAGTAGGTGCTGGCACGAAAAGATCCTTCACTGCTCAATGGCCCTTTGTGCCGAGTATAGGTCAAAATTTGCAGCCCTCCACCGGCAAGTGGTGGCGTCTCCATATGAATGAAAAATTATCGAGAGGGGCGTTAAACAACAAACAATCAATCAATCAATACTACAACAACTGAACAAGGCTACAGCTACAACTTGCGAGAGTAAAGTTTAAAGAATAAATTTTTAATGAATAATTCCAACCTCATATAAAATCCACAACTCACGATCGGGATTTAACTTTTATTAGCTTTACAGGATATGATCAAGATTGTTGAGAATTTTGGGCTTCATTGACACAAGCGTCAAGTATCTACGGCCTAAAATGACGAACAGGAAAATAAATATTTTTTTAAAACTTTACCTTCATTCCACAAGCTAGGTTAAGATTATTACAACAGCAAATATTTAATTTTAGGCCGATATAGGACGTAGGAATTCTTACAGAGTTTCCTCAAACTGAAAACGTAAAATTCTAAGACCTAAAGAATAAAAGTCTTAATTTTTTAATCGTGATTGAGACGTAGGAATTCTTACAGAATTTCCTCAAACAGAAAATGTAAAATTTGTGTTCTTGTTTGAAATGTAACAGGAACCTGTATTATTTTTCACATTTAAGAAGGTTTTTATGTACAAGTAATTCGTATCAATTTTCTTCATTGTTTTGTTTTGACAATTTGTACAAAATAGTAAATAAATTTAAAGGTTTATGATATTTTAGTGTAAGATTATAGAATATTTCAATGCTGGGGGGTACTGTACGTCACTAAGTGTTAAAAAGTTCATAAATTTTTAAATGAATTATTTTCTTAATTTTGACTAATTGTCTTGACCAGTTTATGTGAAAGGGACTAATTATGTATCATTTACAATATGAAATTCTAGCACAGACAATTGTCTGTGCTAGAATTTCATACTTGGGTTGTCTTAATGTTTTTATGGACATCTAGTTTTCAGGAAGAAAAAAAAATCAGTCCGTCAAAAGTCCATATAACAAATCAGTGAAAGGGTACATATTGTTTTCTAAATAACTTTATTGGGTAAAATTGGTAATTGATAGTGACAGAAATATTTTAAAAAAATGGTACTTTTTATTGGTCTGAGAGGTACGAAAAATGAGTCAAAAATGCCAATTTTCGTTTTCGGTCCAGGGGGACTTCGCCCCCCCCCCGGGCCCCTACCAGGGCTCTGCTCTGGACCCGCTGGGGGCCTGAGGCGGCCCCCAGACCCCTCACCGAGATTGGTTTCCCGCTATTCCAAATATATTTCCTTCTATTGAAAATCTTATTGAAAACACTGACATATTGGGCATTGCAGACCTATAATTGTGATGCTAATTTTTACTTTTACGCTAGTGGCCTCTGAGTATTTATTTAACGAAGTTTTCTTTCTAAGCAAAATGTACGAGTAATTAAACTCTTAAGATAATGAAATATAATGAAAATAAAGATAGTGATGCCAAATTCTAAATAAACGTATTTTGATCAATTAACTTGTTCAATATTTCAGATCGTGAATCTTCTGTGAATTTTCATAGTCGTACCAGTTGTTAATTTATTACAATATATATAATTTAAAACCCTTAAGATTGCTATAAAATGCCCTCCTCTTTGGGGAATGTGTACACAACTCTTCTGTCATTCCTTTATGTGGACGTTTTCTGCATTCAAACGCTGTATAGGACATCATACTAAGTAAACTTTCAATAATCTAATTATCCCCAATCTGTTTGTTAATGGGTATGATAGTAGATGTAATATTTGATTCCTTTTTTAATCTTTTTTTATCGCTTGGCCAGACATATATGACTTCAGAGCAACGTCGTATAAAAAAGCTTACTTTAATATACATATTGAAATATTGAATTTTTTTAATCTTTGAAGCAAAGAAGATATTCATTTTTTTCTTATAAAAAGAGATATAAATTGGTGTTTTAAATAACATGTAATTTTTACTATAAAGTAATTGGAATAAAATAAATTTAAGATTTTTTTTTTATTCTTCAGTTTGATCATTTATTTTTACTGTTGATTATAACTTTTGTGTTTTACATGTAAAAGTGATGCTGAGGATTAAATGTACATGCATTGTATATTGACTTATATTTACATTTCCAGATATTTTTCCTTAATATTCTTTGCAAATTATAAGACATGAATATCTCCATTGTTACGTCATAATACCGCACTCGACGTCAAAAGTATAGTGCAAACTGTATTGCCTTAAAAAATGACAGTTGAATGGTGTAATTTTTGGCAACTCATCAGAAAAATAATGTAAATATAAGAAATGAATTTAATTTTTGAAAACCCATGAGGTACATGAACTATAACGCTTCACGCCAGCATTTTCATCATGAAGCGCTAACGCGCTTCATGAAATATGCCGGCGTGAAGCGTCGTAGTTCATGTCCTCATAAATCTTCAAAAATTAAATTCATTTCTTAAATATAAATTGAAATCTACAATTTGTTTCAGCATGTGAGAGAGGCTTGTTTGGCTCAAATTGTTCAGAGAAATGCTCAATAAATTGCCGTACCGCTTATGAATGTTTTCACACAAATGGGTCCTGTGTGTGTTTACCTGGCTGGACAGGGTCACCGCACTGCAACAAAGGTAATCCTATAGGAAAGTTTATTATTACTGTATAAGTACTCTTAGTTGCCTGCAAGATTTTTTTATCTACATTTGTGCCTTTTTTCCTTTAAACACTTATCTATTTACTGGTCCTCGTAAATTAATATCAAGTACAACAAAAATGAAAATTGATTAAATAAAATGATATTCTCGAAAGAAAACATTTTCTGCATAGGAAGTCTAGCATTTTATTTTATCAGAATTTAATTAAGTGTTAAAATTTGTACGAAAAACATTGAATTACATATACCTATACATGCATTCGGGATTTTTTTTATAGCGTACTACGAAACATAACCTTAACTGCTTTATATCAGGATATTTGATGTACATGTACATTTTGATATGAATGCTAAATTATAAGACCGACATTGAATAATTGATGTATTTGTTATCGATTTTGATTTGCTGCGATGTTTTGTTCTCCTTTTGAATATTGAATATCTTATTTTTGTTTATGTTTTATAATTTATATATAAAAGCTACAATATTTGTTGACATCCTAACATTATTTCATACTTTATGCTTTAGTTACTTTGGAACTTTACTATGAAACTTTGTCCACTATGAAACTTTAAAACATGATCGTTTCAACTTTAGAATGTGATCCGGGATTTTACGGAGAGAATTGTCAGAAACACTGTAAAGATTACTGTGTCAATGCTACATGTAATAGAACTGACGGTGGTTGTTTAGCTGGATATATTCAAGAAAATAAGCCTGAGAAAGGTGAGTTGGTCTTGATTATTATTTCATAAACATCCTTTCAACCTAAAATTATTAGTAGTTGACAATTTTCTCCTAAAAAACGGCTTTGTGATAATTGTTTTATCAATTGTTTAATGTCTATTTACCATCCATCTCCATTGTTCGTTCATTCAGGAAAAGAGAATTGATATGATATACATGTATAGGCATAAGATTCTTGTTGCTTATTTAAGTGTCGATGTCAGGTATATATGTAAAAAGGTTCACTTCAGATTAACAAAAAGATAAGAACTAAAGGCCTGAGGTGGGTTTTAATCTTTACCCAAAAAATATCGATTTCCGCTCAAGTCGATGGCATTAGATTACATGTATGTAATAATGGTTTTCTCATATATTATTTTAGTTTTAGTCATTGCTCTTAGCATGTAGAGATAGGAGGAATTTTTTCCATGGACAACAGATGCAATTGTAACTCATTACCTCCAAATATTATTTGATATTTTTGTGTACTTTTCATTACAATGGTTATGTCTAATTTAAATTGCCTACTTGATAATATGTAGTTATTTTATAACAAACACTCTTAGAAATAATAAAGAAAAATGTTAGATTAACAAAGATGAGACATGAAGGAGTAGTGACATCATTATTGAGTTAAGTCGTATATTCATCATATGACATGTAATTGTCAATATCTTAACGAGGCCGAGTCTAATTCGTGTGCGCATGACTTTGCGCAGCTTTTTAATTACATGTAGTCATATGTTCAACATTACACCTTTCCCAAATATTGTGATTTTAATACAAAATTAACATAATCTGTAACGCCTATGGGTCTGAAAATGTGCTTTTTACGACAACAATTAGGGAAAAAACGCTGAAATGGCTCTAACGATGTAACTATTTTCCGAATTTGTAAGCAACGCATGACGCTGAAGAATGACACATGACTCGCTTGTATATTCAAGACTTCCATGCATATTATACATACTAGCAATCTAAAAATTGTTTTTTTTTTTTAACCAAAATAATTCATCTGCGCCAAGAATACATTTGCACCGGTATATATTATACTGCAATATGGCAATTTTAGAGGTATCGGGCATTGAAAAAAAAAGAACTTTTGTTATAATTCCTACACCAAACTAGATGGTCAAATTTTTTTGAAAGTTCACAATTTGGTGACTTTTCACAATAACTTTCATGTACCTGGCTGAAAAAGAAATCTCTAGGGCAGAAATACAAAAAATATGGAAAAAAAATGTGATAATTTCGCGCTTTTCCAACAAATTCCCATAGGGTCTAATAGTAAAATTTGACAACTTTTGAGATGCAACCCTAAGAAATCTGGACGGTAAACATTTGATTTTTTAATCTTAAAACATAAATATAATGGTAAAAATTAATTCAAGAAAATTGATCAAAATCTCTAGGGTAGAAATAATTAGACTCGGCCTCGTTAAGCACAGTTAACACAAGTGATATTTCTAGCTCAATTGTCCAGGCACGCGCTTGTTGAACTGACAGAATAAACGCATTGTCTAACATTAGATTCTATGGTATTTATATCTATTTGCTAATTATTGTGAGGAAAACCTGTTTCGAGTAAAAGATAATGCATAATTTTTATCCGAGAACAAAGTTTGCAATTACAGTTTCGATTGACTGCAGATTTATTACACAAAAAAACAATTTTTTGCATGCTCTTTAGTGCCTTTCATATGAAGAACGAACACGTTTTTAGGGAAGATAATACAAGAAACATTCACTAGGCTTTTAAAAGAAAATTAGATATTTTCTTTAAAGGGAAAATTTTGAAACAGAATCTGAAGAAGGTTTTTATCCTCATGTCAAATAGGATTGCAATTTATAGTTGCTTTTTAAAAAAAAAAAATATTATCATTGAGGGAAGGCTGAGGATTGTCTATTTAAAAATAGCTTGAATTTACCTTTTCATTAGATTATTATTTCTTTGTGCTTCCATCTAGACGTTTGCATGCGTGCTGGCTATAATATTGAAATCTTTAAATGACTTCTGACCTTAGTGAAACAAGTACTTAAATTAATATGCAAGTCGGTTATAAGGAAGCAAATTTCGATGTCTCAGTGACTTCATTTTAACCGAATTTTACTGTAAAAGTAACAATGTATAGACTCCGATTATTTCTTTCTTTTCAGTCAACTTTTCTCCTTTTGCATTAAAAAAAAATGAAAAGAATTGGCAAGTGTCGCTGATACGAGCTACTGAGTTTATAATTTAAAAGTATTGACACTGGAAAAAAAATAGTTTCGATTTTAGGAAGACTGATTTTCCGGCAATGTTACCTTGTAACATTTATATAATTTCATCATCAGTTTCAGCTTGGGTTTTATCAGATAACATCTTCTTTTCTAAAGTTTGGATGTCTCCCTAGAATAGAAAATCAATCCATCAAACACTTTGGCTTTTGTTTAATATCCCTTACCACCTGTACTTTTGTGATGATTTTCCCTTATTTTCATAGACCCTTATTATGAGACTCCTTCTAAAGAGTGATTTAGCAATTTTGTCCATTTGTTTTATGTTTACACCCATCCCAAATACAAATCATTCTCTACAAACTTGATGGATTATCAATGACGTAATATTGTTGTCTTATAAATTTCGTTGTTTGTTGTTGTTGAAAGGAAATATCTGCACGTTTTGTAATTATGCAAGGACACGAAAAAGTCCTGTTCTGTATCAGTGCATTATTGTGTTATGAATGTTTTTAATTCTAGGATATAACTCGACCGCATTTTTTTTTATTGAAGTTAATATCACTGATTCCTTCTCATTATGTAAGACTGAGAAAATTGCCAGAACATATGTAACAGTCATTCGCAGCTATGTTAGGGCTGTCCGAAGGCTTAATATGCATTAGACATATACTATTTTATTTCGAGCTATGTTTTGATTTCAATTTGAAATCTATGTTCACTTACACAGTTACGTTGTAAAGAGAGTTAAATAAGGTATTATAAAAAGGCATTTTCGTGATGTCACATGACTGTGTTGATCACGTGACGGACACTTATAAATTTTCTTTAATGTTACACAAAAATAGCATCGGCACAAGTGAAAAACAAACTTATTGTGAACGGCTTGTTACATAAATCAATTAAACGTATTCTTGGCTATATATAAAGTGCTGGGGGCAAGTTTGTAAAAATTTCCCCGTCACGTCTGCTCAAATTTGCAGTGATTTGACGTCATATGCCATTATGAGGTCATATCTAGGTAGTTCAGAGACGTTGCTACGGCTGGTACACTGTGACATTCTTCGGACAGCCTTATCCTAGCCGCATTGAAAAAAAATATATATGACATTTGCAAACGGCAATGGAAGAAATTTGACTTATTGTAAGCTGCCATTATAGATGGAAATATTTTATCATTTTTTATCTACGTTTATTTTTCCTGAGCAATCGCTCCGATTTTATTAATTATGAGTGATCCTATGATACAGTGTAATGTTGTACGTGTAAAGTTTTAAAAGCCAGCATCATTTACATTTTTTGAAAAAAGAAAGTTACAAGATTCAGATATGTTAAGGATATTTGATATTTTCCATTTAAAGGGGAAGACAGAAAACCATTAGTGTCATATAAGAAAGAATATTACACAGTGAGTGGTATTTTTGGAGCAATGGGTGTTGTTTCGCTTGTCATCATTGCTGTATTAATTATACGGTACTTATTTTAATTTTTATTCTTACATTTTAGCTTTTAATTTATTTAGTAAATTTAATCTAAAAGATGCTTACTGAAAAGTAAAATAATATTACTTCATTAATAAGATTTTAAATCTCCAATCTCCCTCTCCATCTTTATCATTGCAATTTGTAAATATTTTTTTTTAATCATGAATCAATTTAATTTGTTTTTTTGCATAATTCTTTACCGATCACGGTAGCCTAGTGGTAGGGCGCTCGATTCGTGATCGGGAGGCCCGGGTTCGACTCTCGTTCGCAACGCCGCGTCAAACCTAATACATAAACATAGGTAGTGACTGTTCCTTCGCCAAGCGCCCGGCACTGGAAATGAAGGTCTCTTGGATGAGACCTTAACAACCGAGGTCCCTTGTCAAGGTAGGCGTTGGCACGATAAAGAACCTTCACTGCTCAATGGCCTTGAGTGCCGAGTATATAGGTCTAAATTTGAAGCCCTTCACCTGTATACGATGGCATCTCTATCTGGGTAAAATATTCTCAAATGGGACGTTAACAACATAATATCAATCATAAATGAATATGTTAATAAAGTATAAATAAACATATATATAATTATTAATTAATAAATGGCAATTATGAAATCATGCAAACAAAGGCGTTTCTTCTCATTATCACTAGTAGTTACGTATTCATTTATTTATTGTTCTTTTTTTTTCAAGTGGAAAGAAAACGTTCAGCATCTGCAGAATGCCAAAAGATCGGAATATTTCGGCAGAAACGGATAAAGCAGAAGGAGGACATTCAAATGCAAATAAAATTGTACAAAATGACAAAACCTTATATCAGGAATTGAGTGTGTTTGAAAACAAGAGTGCATATCAGGAACTACATTATGAGAAAAACCCTTATGAGAATCTTGAATTAACTGTTAATTGAGATTAATATGAAGCTTTTTGAAAATTCGTCAGCGCTATAGGAATATGTAATGAAAAAAACCCTCTTAACTATGTAAATTGTATTCAAAGAAATATGTGAATAAACCATTAGATAACATGCAAAAACAGTTCAATCCTGAATTGCACAGAAGTAGTTATGTAAAATATGTACATGTAATACCAATTTGGTGCTTAGGAAAATGTGCAAACCAAAATACATAGTGTTTTTCTTTTAGAGCGTTTAGCATGTAAAATGACATTTCCCGTTATCTTTTAAAAATCTTCTTGAAGGATAGCAAAATTGTGATTAGTTATGTAAACAAAGAAGCATCCAAAGGTAGTGCAGATGCAAAATGTTTAAATCAGGAATCCCCGGGATAGGATGTGGCCACAA